GCTGATTGCAACAATGCAGTTTCACTTGTAACTTTATTTAACCTGTGAAATATTATAAAGAATACAATTTTTGAAGCAATCAGTCTTTTCCCATAATAAATCAATTCAATTAAACTATGCGCCTTTAGACAACTGCAGACGCATTCATTCCTCTAAAATCATCCCTGAATACCGCATAAATCAGGTTGGGGTGCATCTCGGGGCTTTGCACAGTCAAGGCGACATTTTGCTCGTCACTGATGATCTGTCACCAGCTCGTTCTTCATTACACTGGACTGGATACGGCCCACGGATTTCTGCATCGCTGCTAGTGTACCAGCTTTCAGTTTTCGCTGCACAATCAGGCGTTGAGTCTAGTCCACAGTCTTTTCATCTTCATTCGCTTGTTGTGATACAACAACGAAAGAAGGGAGCAATGATTTTTAGTGCCTTGTTCGGAGAATATCAGTAGCAAAATTTAAAAAACGGAATTTTCACTCTATCGCATTCCCACCAGTTAGTTTTGTTTAAGAAGTGCTGAGTGGATTGTCATTGGTGATTTCAGGAACTTAGTTCTCCTTCCCGATGCCTAACTAACTGTCTGTTGAGGATAACACTCATCCGTGAATATCCTGTTATGCTTTTAACTCAGCTAGTGATACAAAATGCCCCGTAGATCGCGTTTGTCTCCTGGACAGCAATAAAAACGATTTTTTTTCTGCAAGCTTAAACTAACTTTTCACTATTCTACATCGGTACAGCATCTCCCCGTTACTCTCTCTCTCTATTGGTACTCAGTGAGAACCATTTCAGTGAACTGTTACAGTGCTATGGTGTAAAACACCTTACACGCCGGGATAATATTTAGCACTCAGATATGTGCATTACAATAACGTGTAGCTAGTTCAAAGGGAAACGATTTCTTTGAGGATGAGCACTCTCGCAAAAAAGAAAGCTAAGGAATTAGTCACACTATGTTGTTGTGCTCGTACAAATACGCGCAAGCAATATGGGGATACAGCCTGAAAACAAACCCGTATGTGTGTTTTTGTGGGATTTTGAAAGCAGGATTTCAGTTCCCATCGGCTCACTAGAAAATCCGTACTTATACAGTGTAAAAGCAAACCAATAAATATAAACAGACAAGATATATCTCATTTTAATTTTACCGATACTTTAGATCAGTATAAAATCTCTGACCAGCGAACAAGAAAAGAGAATAGCAAAACAATTTCCAGAGGAGAAAATGTAAACGAGAATCAACAAACTCATACAAAATATCAGATGGTACAGTTCTCTATATCTAATGGAAGACATAAACTACCGCACCATGGACCTCGATGATGGACGGATTCTGTGAAGTCATTACGAAGGGTTATTCATCACGAATCGTTTTTATTCGTTGTTGGTTTTTGGTAACCCGATAAAATATTCTCTGCTTCGGGATGTATTTGCATGGCCTGTGTGTATGTGAACCCCGAAATTGGATAGTCTGTACGAATTTGAGGTAGCGAGGGCCTTAGGCTAAGAGCTCATACAGGAGGTTTGAATTTGTTATTTGCACATATTTTTTCTCGATTGCAACTTCTTTGCTGCATTCCAAAATAAAGTCAGGATGAAAAAACCAGGTAGGACGAGGCTCCAAAATGACAGACAGATCGCTGAACCCGATACGACATTTAAACGAATCATTCTCGTGATTCATATTACTTCACAAACTGCCACAAACAGAACCGGGACTGGTAGCGCGTACAATGTTGTCATCGTTAGGATTGATTGTTAAAAAATGTGTGATGAAATGTGTGTTCATCCGCTGTCTCACGGAGTAGNAAAGACTAAGCAGAGTGATCTACTGCATCAGCCGGTCAGCAGATGCATGTTAGACAAATAGTGTGTGATGGAACTGAACAAGATATACCCAACAGAATGGTAGTTCTTTGATCAAATCGCCCGTTACAGTTCGGCTGGGTTGACTCTGTTCAGATAGGTCTCAATGCTACCGTTTTATTTTCCTGATCATTTGCACATGAAGCCGCGACGAGTCTACACGTGTAATGTTATATGCTTGATCAGTTGAACAAAAAACACCTCGTCCTAATGGATGTGTTTCAACACTTCCGTTTGGGGTTCGGTTCTTTTGTATTGCATTCTCACTGCTATGCGTATGGTCAACGCAGTGTATTCCATAATCCTGTGGTAAACCTATTATTATTTGACTAATCTGGAAGACAGCGACTGCGCACACGAACAACGGATAAGTTTAGATTCACTGGTCACCATTGTGCCCCATTTGATACGTTTAAACCAGGCAACTGCTAGTAAAAACAAGGTATATTTTGGTTAGCTGGCGGTTCTACTAATCCAAGCATCACCTGACGTCACATATACCACCGACCAACAATTTCCGTTCTCCTTGATATAAAAATACTGTGTAACTCGGTTGGGAAGAAGCGATCGAAAATTTCGTTCACTGGCCAAGGTCACTTTAGTTAGGTGCATGTGACTCAACAACGGTCTACGACGAACTTAGTAGGCAGTTCCGAATCCGTAGCTATACTCTACTTCACCGAATTTGTCCATACACGAAAACCTAGAGAAAAACCTATCCGCTCAATCCGAAATGCTACGAGATCGGGTGATCGGGAATTGTGCCCAAGCGGCGGCGATAACCCGGCAACGAAGGGGACCACACGCTTATGCAGGATTCGAGTAACATATACTATACTGGAAAATTTTCATTATCAAAATGATGTTTCTTTGGAGTCTGGAAGGTCCCGTTAGACTACGCCACAGACCAAGTGGTTCACAACATGTTTTTGGGACCTCAGAGTAATTGCGAGTCCGAGTTGCTATTCACGTAGTTCGAAACAAGATCGAGTGGGTAGATCATGCAGTCCTCAATCACCAAGTATTTGGAGATATTTATGTAAGCGTGTCCTCTTGGTGCTTTGAATTTGGATAGATGAATGTGAGAACGAGAAGATAAATCCATCCGGTCGGAGCAAAATCTTGGATTTGCTTCTGATATGACGGATTTTGTTTTAAACCGGCCGTCGAGTTTTATTGAGGCTATTTGGCTAATCTTATTCCGTGCTAGAGGGGAATAAAAAAATGTGTAACAGTCTAATTCATGTCTGCTAAGTGATGCGCGAACGAAATTATAGGAGAATTCAATCCTTCATTCTTATCCGGTAAAATCCGGTCAAAATTGGAATGTCTCTAATCTGAGTTATGACCCCGAAGGTTAGCTAGTACGCTGAGATGTGCAAGATGTGATACACGCAACAAGTTTGCTAATTTCGATCGACATCCCCGTGGCCGAGTGGGTAGTAAGCTTGCGTTCTTCCTTTATTGAGATCCCGGGTTCGCGATCCCCAGTTGGGTTGATGGATTCGAACTGCACTGATAAGATCCACACAGCAGTCCAGTACTTCACAGCGTTTCAGTTCACAACTTCATTTGTCCTGTGCACGATGAAATTATTTTCGTTCGTCATAAAAGTAGTATGGAACTTTTCACGTCTAACAGTATAGTGCATGACACTATTTCATCAATCCATGAAAAGAAGACGTCGAATACTGTGTGTTTGTGTACGGTTTTGGCCAGAAGGTCTACTGAAGTCCCGGAAACTATCTCTCGATTTTTCTCGCGATTTTGTGTGTCGCAATGCAGCATGTCACTTTGGTTGACAAAAGGTGTCCCGGTTTTGTAAATACAAACTTAAGCATTTATTTATTCACGGAATAAGAAAGGAACCTTTCAAATTTGATGGAACTTATTGCTTAGCAACTTTCACAGTCTTATCCGTATTGTTTTTCGTCCAGTTTCACGGAATAGTGTTTGTGGTTATTTCAACCGTGGTCAATCCCAGTAGTGATTTCATCTACAATAATACTCTTAACATTAAAAAATAGTGTCAGTACGGTAGTATATTGTTCAGTATAATCGAAGTACTGCTGGTTTCGAAACGAGTTTACATTTCATGAACATGACTTGGACACACGCTTACTCGATCCAGTTCAGTGACCTGAAAAACAGCTGAGATCGGCTTGTCGCAGAAGGAGCATTCAATACCTGTCTAGGCAAAATCCTGGTGATCCACGAGTACTTGGAAGATGAATCACTTGATAACCCACAGCAAATGTGCAGAACGTTTCGTTTGGAAATTTTGGAGGTATTTTAAGGAACATACATTAGATAACCAGGGTTGTTTTCAATAACGTCTTCCTTTCACGGCTGAAACAGTGATATAAATAGTTCAAAATTATCAGATTAGTCTATTAGTTTGATATGATGAATATAATTCGTTGCTTTTTATGTTGTGATATATCATTTTTGTTCTCGGAAGCGATTAGTTCAGTCACCTTGCTCTTACCTTGACCTTAGTCAGACGCAGCCGACTGAAACCATTGTGCCCACCTGACATGACACAGGAACTCACAGACGAAATAGAATAATTCACTCAACGCATCGGCTGTACACATTTCTACCCACACTACAAAAACTACCAGAATAATAAAACATTACCCGGTAATTTCCGAACTATGAAACGCAACGTCTCAATGAACCAATCATCACATCAAACAATTTAACTATTCAGACAATTTTGAACTACATTTATTCGAGGAAAAGTTTATAGTAAAACGTCTTTGTTCCCTACCGTTTTCTTATTATCACAATAGGAATACAAAGTGGACAGTTTGAAGATTTTGACACGATAAAAAACTAGAATAATGTCTGAGGAAATCAGTGACAATGAAGAGAAAAAGGAAAATGCCAGCTATCGCTAATGACTACACTGTGACCCTGTTGGAAGAAATTCTTAAAATTGTGGAATGAATTAGTAACATGATACAATCACTTGAGGCGGAAGGGGAGAGACGGATGGTTATTTCCGGAGTCCGTGTGTGTTTATCTGTTTGCACGAATACATGTGACCGTCCGTTCGACATGTGATTGCATTAGGTGAATAATATAGTGGAAGGTAGCGTGGTGTGACCAGATGGGTTGACGTTCGGGGGATGGGGACAGAGCAAGTGAGTGTGCTTGTGTGTGTGTTTGTTGCGTACACATGTCAAAACTGTTTTTACAACCCTCATATGCGATGGACACGTTGGTGGTAACCGATAAAGAGCACTGGGCAGTTTGTGTGTCCTGTTTGGGACTCATCAACAGTGCGCAATCGAGTCGTGGACTCTCGGCTTGGGACTTCAAACCCTTACCCCTGAGCTACTGTTATCATCATCGTCGACTGTCATCACCTTGTTTGAATGGATCAATCATTTTGAGAGTAGCAATTTTGCATTAGCTCATTCGAGTTTTCAGAGGCACCGGGCACTCTTGATAGTCTTCGGTGTGGGTTACACTCCCTGAGTTATTGGCAATTCCCCACGAAGAGAATGAATTCAAATGTGATGAAATGTATGTGATGACCGACAGTTTAGCTCAGGGGAAAGGGTTTGAAGTCTGAACCCGACTGATCGCGATTCGAGTCCTGACAGGGACACAACACGTATGCACTGCTAACGAGTCCCAAACACGACGAAACAGCTGTCCATTGTTCGTTTCTGGTTATCACAAACATTTTCATCACATTTGAATGCATTCACCTAGTGGGGAACTAACAATATCCCAAGGAGTGAAACCCGCACCGAAGACCACCAAGAGTGCCTGGTGCCTCTGAAAACTCGAATGGGCTAATCTAAGTTTGATGCTCTAAAGTTTTCACAACGTGGATCAAAGGTACCGGTGTAGGTCGAACTCGAGCAAGGTTCTGATTTTCTACAGTTTTTTCCTTCAACGCTTGGCGTTGAGTTAAGCCTAGGATTTGAATATCGTATCAGCCCATGTCAGAAGCGACATGCCTGTAATGGTATCTTCTTATTTGTTTGCTTCTGGTGGCCGGTGATAACGTTACCAATTATCACCTCAGAAGACGTAATCGAATCCCACCACCACCGCCTGCCTTTCCCCACTATGTGTGTTGTACGACAGCCCTTTGATGGGCCGCTTCCTCTTTCCTGAAAGTTGTATCTTCGTATGGTCAATTAAAGGAAGTAAAATGAAAATGAAAATAAAATGAGTTAAAAACCTTAAATACCAGTACGATTTATTGATTTCGACGACGATTTCTGGTGAATCAGTTATCAGCAAACAAAACCTCAGTAAAAATAAAAACAGCGTTATTTTGGAGCACTGGGGCCAGTCTTTTTGACCACGAAGTCCAGCAAGTTAACTATAAAATAGGATGTACCAGTTTCCTCCCATACAGCCACACTTTGGCCATTGATAACAACTGTCGGGGGAGCTAACCTATTCCCATTTTCCAACACCTGGAAAGTTTAGGTAACAATTGAACGAATCAAACACTTTACGTGACCGATCGAGAAACTGCATAAATGCAAAAAAGCAACACACAATGAGGTCAAAGCCTTTCTAAGACCGACCTCTATAGTGAGATGTGATGCTAAGCTTTATCTGGGGAAAAGAGTGATTTTCGCGAATACATTTCGAGAGTGGCACTTATCGAAAATCTCCACCTCATCACTACAACCAATTCTGTGCTTGATACAGAATGGCATTTACAGGAGAACAATTAAAACGCACTCCGCATTTGCTTCCCTCCCAACTCATGGACGTTTCACTGTTTTGACAGGTGAAATGATATCCTCCTAAAAAACAAGTCAACAGATTGTTTTCCGCCTGCCGTATTGATCGCTGGGTGGCAAAGAGATAAACCCAACGGCAATTGAATGAATGAGAAATTGTAAGTGATTCAGTCTGTAGCCACATAGGTTAGAAAATTTCCATTAATCGTCCTGTTTACTTTGCACTGCATGAAAAAATAGGCTAGTTCGAATAACTTTATTGACCGGAATAAACGTTTATTAGAAATAGTGAGCTTCCGTACTGCTCTGCATAAATTTTTTTTTTAATTCTGAGCTCTAACTTTCGAACTACTGCAACTGTTTTCTTGATACTCAAGGTCACGCTAATGAAAATGGTGATAGGTGAGAACTAAACATTCTAATGGGAGATAAAATTCAGCCTAATTGCTCTAAACCCATGGCTATCAATATAAATAGATATCATACTTGAAAATAAAATGTATTGCCAATCTGAGAGTCGTATAGCACAAGTTGGAGCAATACCTGTACATCGTTATGACTCGTTATGACCCCTGGGAGAAAATATCCTTGCAACTGCATTCAGTTGCAAGTCCTCCAGATTTTGCACGAATTCTGAACGCTGCATTCATTGTATTGCATCCATCTGCAACCCATCCTGTGTTGTTTGGAATTTTTTGCTTCATGTTAAAATCCATCAATAATCCGCCTGAAATGGTTTCTGTCTGATATACAACGCAAGGTATCTTGCATAAGTTGTTTTACGGACCACAAACGAATTGCATCCCATGCTTACGCGAACGCCTAGGCTTCATTCGTTCGCTAAAGGTCGTGGTCACATATTGGCTCGGGGTAATGACACAGTGCAGCTTCTGAAACAATCAGTCAATAACGTTTGCTTTAGATATTTGCTTGTATACTACAACCTCCAGTGGCACAAACTGCAATTTCGCCATTTCAACCACTTTGTTGCAGCTTGCTCATGAAGACATCAGCCGGTCTGCACCAATTCCGATCATGCCTTTCCATTCGTTCAGGCTTTTTATCGACTTACCCCTCCCCGTATTCTCGGCGCGCCTTATCCCTAACGGGACCCAATTTACCATTCAGAGATGGGAAAATGCCTTTCCCGCAAATATTCGCTTCCACCAGTTTTCATGTTTTCTTCTTCCCACAATTAAAATCTTCTCGTTCGCCAGGACTCTTTGACATACCGACCAGATCACAGAATTTTGCCCTCATCATTTGGTCGTATGAACCAGAGGATAGAAAATACTGCTAGTTCGATTAGTGGCTTGTAGCATGGGCAGAGGGCACCCAAAATTTGCAGCTAGACGGGAATGAGACATGCATTTCTCCCAATAGGGGCTATCTTTATTAGACAGTTGGTGGCAGTTGATGCGATCGCACCATAATACAGAACAAAATTAATAAAGAAAGGCTTGCAAACAAAGTATATTATATTTAGAATAGACAATGAAGAGAAATAATAGAGGGACATCATGACCATATTGAAATAATTGAAGCTATTGTAGGATTACACTTACTTTAACGGTAATCGGTGTGAAAGTGTGAAAGCGCGCGCAGAGACGAGGAAGGTGAGGGGGCAGAGTCTTTCGATGCTGGTGAAAACGTTTTTAGCGTGCTTGAACCAAACGAGACAAAAGGACTCCAAAGTAGTTCACTACTTTGTCTTTGGGAAGGATATGACAAATGGTAAGTTTTGACAGGTTACTATGAGGAGGAGGATGAGTCTGAAAATGAATGCTTGTTTTACAGCCTAATAAGCAGATCAATGAGGTGGTCGACATGAAACAACAGAGATCGGGACGTAGACCAACCAAGCATTTGTTTCATACACACAAGTTGGTGGAAACAGTCGAAATCAGTGGTGGGACACCCAGTTAGCACGTTCTTAGTGTTCCGGCAAGCGATGAAATTGAAAGTGATAGGAAGGTTATATACTAAATGAAAAGAAGAATGGTGACAAAAGTACAAGCTGAACGACCCCGAAGTTAAAATCTTTTCAGGATTGACCGTGTGAGAAGTAACTTGGAGAGACATTTAAGAAAGAAAGCCTGGTCCAAATCTGTCAAAAAACCAATGTTCAGAGGCGGGCATGTCAGGAAATGAAACTGGCCAAGGAAACGGGGCTGAAGCGTAGCACAATTCAAACAATTACTAGCATTACTGATTTTTAGATATGACTGTTGTTTGCCAAATTGGAAGCGATTGTGAAAATTTCAGTAACCTCGTTGCGTTTCGAACCCACGCATGTAGATGCCGCCTACGCTTTTGTACAGCGCACGCTCTACCAGCTGAGTAACGAGGCCACACCGATAGCACATTGATCAATTTTCACATTCGAATTACCCATAGAACTTACAGAGGCATAAGTCATGCATCAGTTAGCATATAATCTTATATGGATTTGTTTTTATACCATTATCGGATGATCAAAGTGTTATATTTCTTTGAAGAAGGTTCTCTTTTCGATCACCTCGGAAAGTAATTCAATCAAGCTAAATGAACAACATCACCGTCATTGTCAGGATGATGATGAATGAGTAAAATTTATCCCACATTCATACAATCCTTCCGACCTACTATAGTCTTCATGAATGAGTAAATTTTACCTTGAGCCATGGATAGTGGTTCGGAGTATACACAGAACGCAGCTTCATCGTGACTCATCAGTCAACCAGCCAGCCAGCTGGATGCTTATTTTGCCGTCCCGGATCACCTTGCACAATAGCTTTTAGCGAGCGCCTAAACTATGGACAAAGGTCAGAAACTGGTATTCACGCGTGATAAAAATGGGGTTTCAATGCTATTTCGATAAAGATAAAATCTAACCTCCTAAAGTGATCGTAGTTCGCTGGTAACTAGACTAACTTATCACACCGGAGTACCTGTGTTCGAATCCGACTACCACCACCGCCACCCGACATCCCGCATTTGTGTTTTGTATGACAGCTCTTTAATGGGCCGCTTTCTCTCTTCCTGAAAATTCTGTCATTGCCTATTCCGCGACAGGGAGTAAAAATGCAACAGAAAAAAACGACAACAAAAACTGACTGCCTCGCGAAATATTATTAGAGGGTGGCAATAAACGAATGAACTCAGAATCCCACCTCGTGGGGGGGCCCATTCTAGAATAAAATATCACTGGAGAATGTTTAGCGAAAAAAGTCCTTTCCTCTGCGGTTCTAAATTTCCGATTAACGAACTCTGTGGGCAACGAGAAGAGCAATCTCCACGGTTTTTCTCCGCCAAATCTGTTATGCCCCGCCCTCAATCGAATGTGCCATAAAACGGATCGTTCCGGATAACCGTTTCAAAGAAAATAATAGTAGAGAAACGATTGTTCTGTATCAGTGTTCACAGGTGTGTGATTTTGTTCACCAGGTCATTGAAAAATAGATGGATAGAGTGGATTCATTGATGCGAAACTTCAACCGGATGCCATGAAAACCAAACCTGTCAGTAACCTATTCTTCTCTCAAAATGTGGTTTATATTGGCATGAGTCCGTCCAAATGACATCAGTAATCCGAACACGGTAATGTTGCTGTTGTTCACAAACCTCAGTGTGTCACTTGCAAAACGATATTCCCCAACGTGGATCTATATATATATATATATATAGATAGATAGATAGATTGAAAAGGAGAAGGCAAGCACTGAGTGATAGTATTTATTGTCACGTTTCGATCCAGACTAGGACTCGTCAAACGATATATATATAACCGAGTAGTGTAGAAATTACTGGACAAAATTTCCTATAAGCTCACGACCGGTTTCGCTGCAAATGAGGTTTGCATTGCACATTTATTTTTATATCCGCAAATAGTGGCTTAGGAAAAGATTCCATTGATACTCTGTCCCTCCAACGACAAATTTAGATAGTTTTCCCCAATATTAGACATGATTTGATTCCTTTTTTCCCAAGGGGGCGGGTAGTGCAAATTTGCGTTATCTTCCAGGGTTCTGACTGCATCAACATTGGATGATCCGGGACAAAATGAACTGATATCTATGCACAGTCTGTATTTGGCTTTCCTTACACATTTTCGGAGGGAATATATATTAGGATAAGCCTCCTAGAAGATCATGGATAGTCAACCTAATTACTACTGAATTGAAAGTGGCCGGGAGTCGTTTATTTATAGTACAAATTGACGAAAACGATTCGCACCCGGCCAGAATATGTGTGAGTAGAAACCCGCACTTTCCTATTTTGGGTAAATTAAATCAGTTGCGGATTGTTTCATCAGTCGATCGAATTTAGTTCAAAATAGGTAGAATCCTAACAAACATTTTATTCAGAGTCCCAACGATCATTGAAAGTTTCATCCGCTCCTGTTTCGTTTTTATTTTCATCCATATCCATAAAGACAGGCAGCCGCTGAATGTGGCACTCATCTTAGACACGTGATCTGATCTATTCAATCGGACAACTCCTGTGCTCTCATCCGGGCTGCACCAAATTACTTCATAATGTTATGCTTTCACCGGAAATCTTTTTGTACCAAATTTTTGCCAAGGCAATGGTTAGATAAGTGGCGGTGCTGAGGGTTGTGTTGTTGTTGGTGGTGATGTTGGTGGTGGTGGTGGTGGTGGTGGTGGTGGTGGCGGCGGCGGCGGCGGTGGTGGTGGTGGTCGTCGTGGTCGTGGTCGTGGTGGTCGGGGTAGCGGACCTTCCTACCCGAGACAAGCACACTGCATTCATTATTACTCACATACAAGCTACGTTTCAGACTGAAATGCATTTTATGATAGCCTTGAGCCTTGACAAATGTGTGACCGGCAAAACGCTACAAATGTCAAACGCTATAATCCAATCTAATTTTGGCTGCATCTGAATTTGTTATGGATATTCTGATAATTTCTACGCGTAGTTTCTTCGTTTAGAAGCCAAGTGTAACGAGAGTAAACAGAAAACAGATTGGGTTTTTGCACAGCCCACCTAAACCTCACTCTGTTTTGTTCACCTGACCATCATCTGACCGTAGGGAGTAAAAATTCTTCCCTGGTGATGATTTTCTCATCTAACGACAAATTATTCCAATAATGTTGTACTTTATTTGTTTTGTTAAAGTTGAGAAGACCCTCTTTTTGGAAGACAGCATATTTGGTGAAAGAAAATATACTCCATAGTTTTGCAAGATTCTGCTGTTGCTGCTGTTTTTCATTTTCAGTTTTAGATATCGGCTAAGCTGGAGCTGAACACGTGTACCACATCATACAGGTTTGTATCACCCCTGTGAAGAAAACTGCAACCTCTTGTTTGTTTACCCATCGGATCAAAATGTGTCGGAATAGAGAATGAAATGAACCCTCACATCTATTTTTTACCATAGTCACACTTTGGTCTTTTGATTTTATGGGTGATGTGTGCAAACGTTCCAACACGCATCGGAAACAACAGCATAGCACAGAAATCGTAAATGGGATGAGATTCTAATCCAATCGAGCCGATTTGATCACGTCGGTTCTATGATCTATGCCTGCTAGGTTTGTGTTGGTTGTTCTCTGCTCTACTATGAACATTTGTACTTTCTTCGGTCACATGTCCACTAACATTGAAAGAAGATTTTTCGGTTACACGTTGGGTGAACCGTTTACAAACAAATATGTATAGCTTATTCAGTCAATTATTTTCCCCCTTTAAATGAAGTATATGATATCAACTCATATGCACCACCACTTTTCGAGCGTAAGGAGAAGGGAATGCGTAGGTTCCAAATGTTTTCTACGGGGGCGACTGCTGGGACTACAGTACTGAAACAAGCAGAATAAGGTCATAAGGAGGCATTTGGTTTGCTGCATTGAACACAAGCTAACTGAAATGTGACCAAATTTCAAGCGGTCAAGCTAGTGGTACAGTTGTGTTATACCCTTGAGACCCATGGATCGATTCGCACTGTTGACCAGACCNTAAAACAAAACTGTGCAGAGATTCTTAGCTTTTGGCTCACATTTCATTCGATCCGTACACGAATCAAAATGTGGGGTTTCCTTGGAGGTATTCTGCAAACGTTTTCAATAACCAGTACAAGTTCGAATCCCGTCATGTGAGTCCAACTAGCCATAATCATTTTCTCTCTGTCGAACCGCTGTAAATAGGTTTTGTCACGGGCATTCAGATTAACAGCACTGTGTGTATGCCAACATCTGCATACTCATTTAAACGCGTCCGTACGCTAACAAAATAAAACGACAAATAGTTCCAATTTATGGTTTGAAATAGCATGGGGTACTTTCTGTGACCATTGTGGCTCATAACAGAATTCAAAGAATGTCACAGGAAGCTATCAAATTGAAAAAGAATGTTTGCTAATTATTATTCATGGGGCAAGAGATACACAAAATTAGAGGCCAAACGGAGCATTGGAAGCCGTGCTCGTTCGGACGTTTTTGGGTGTTTGGTTTGGAGTAGACCGGAGGAGAGAAGGCGGAAAGAATGTGAAATTCAAGCACATACGTGAATTTCTTTTTTTGTCACGTGTATGTCAGTGTAAACTGAATTGATCGAAAATTTCAATTGTTTAACAAACACGCTCACTGCTAATCACAGGGTGTTAGGACACAGTAAATGCTTATCTTTCTCTAGACAACAACGAAATTTGAGTACACACAGAGTGGGACTCAGCAAATTACGGTATTCTTTCACTGAATTCCAATGGATTTCATAGAAGTGCCAAGTGAACGTTTTGCGATTGAGATGTCAATTTATGTTTTCTTTTTTTCGGGACGGGGGGGCAGTTCAGCAGATATTAGGAAACTAAATGTCTTTTGAACGTTATCGGAGCACCATTTTCATATTCTCCTGTTTGCAACTGAACATGAACAGTTTACCAAAAACTTTGAGTTCTCTTTTTACCTTATACTTAATAGATAGAAAAATACGGACAGTGACGTTAGAGCATGAAGTATGCAGACCGTCATGTCCATGAACTTCGAATAAGGCTATTGCCAGGATTATTCTATCCAGTGAGGTTCTTCTCACGCAATTCGTATTGATCCCTGTACTAGTGGCTGTTGACATGCATGCGGTAGGTGCCAACAATTCTATTGGGCACAACTCACATATCAATTTCTGTTGATTAAAAAAAGATAAAGTTGTTGACAGAACATTCAAAACCGGTTTTTGTAGCTCGGGTGGAATGAATTACATTTCGCCTGTTCGCCGAGTAATTGTCAATTTGTTTGTAAACGTTTCATCACACCAACCGAGGTGACATCATCAGTGCTTGTGAAGTGGCAGTGTTCTGCTGGTACCCGATCGTTTATATATGTGACCTTCACCGACTAGTTTTGTCGCTTGTTCTCACTGTGTCTGACTCGGTTCGCCTTTAAACAGGTGTGAGGGGGCGAGGCGAGGAGGTTGTTCTACCGTTTTGATTGCGGTTTCGGACCTCACTGCTAAACTGGAAAACAAAATTAACGCCCCTTTCGTTGCGGAGGTGTAATGTACTGTCCTGTTCAAGTATGCCTTCTGTGAAGGCTACGTCAAAGAGACCCGTTTTGACAGCGCGAGAGTAACATAGCGAGGAACACCAATCCTTCAAAAGATTCCATTTCTAGCGTTAATCCTATATATTGTTATAGGCTTTGTTAAATCAGTCCAACAATACATCAAGGCTCATGGAGGAATCAGCCAAGCAGAAGATTTCAGTTACACAGCGCCGACATTCTTTGAAATAACCATCCAGCACTTCAGTTTCCAAAAGAGGGCCTAAGAGAGGGGTCATAACAATCCCGTTTTTATGGATACGCGTCTCTACATTTAACTGAAATCCCACTGTGTACGTACATGGGTAAATTAGGTTGCGGAGGCCTTCAGTGGGTAGACCATCATTCATGCAATGGCGCTCAATCTGGTTTCTCTGAGAGACACGTTGATGGGTAGAGAGGTCTGGTTCAAAGAAGACATGTGCTTTCCTGAAACATCAATTGATTTAACAGTGTCCACGAATTCAAAGGTAGTCCTCAGGCCGTAGGTCGTTAGTTCCCTACTGATGGGCTTCAAGATTTCAGCTAACCACTCCGGCATTCCGTGCTAAGGTGAATTCTACATGTCCGATATTGGACGCATTGGTAATCCTGGTTTGTGCAGTTTTGTGGACCGTAGAGTGTACACACTTATCTTNTATTCTTTCGAATGTGCTGCAGCTTAAGATCCCGTCTTATGTCAGTTTTCTAACGGTTTTAGATAATCTTTTTTCGATGGCGGCCATTCTGCCTTTTTCTTTTTCTGTCTTATGCGAACTTCAGCGTGTCTTATAACAACAGTTCCATTTTGTTCACATAATCAGTCCGATCAAGACTGACAATCCCCAAGCCTTCATCTGGTCTCAGAAGAACAATATCTTTGTTTCTCTAGGCTTTGGTCAAACTTTTAAAATTTTCTTTGCATAACAGTCTTCTACTCTCAGTCTGATCAGTTAGGTGTAGCTAACTTGTCGTGAGCAGCTGTGTTTTCTCCTTTTTAAATTTACATCCGATGCAGGTAATTGGTCCGAACGTTGACCGTAAAAATTTTCAAATTGTAGGCTCTAAATCTAATTACCCAATGCTCCCACTGGAACAGCAAAATTTGGTCCTAAAGAAACAAATTCAGTAGCTACCGTATCCAAACGTAAAGAAGAGAAGTCGTTTACGTACCGCTCTAGATCTCTGGGAAATTGTCTGTGGCAGATTTCTGTGGTGGCCTGCACGGAATCATTTTCTCTCATTCTCATTATATATTTTGTTCCACTCGACCTGTGGCAGATATGTAAGGAAACCAGATACTTTATCTCCGTGTTCATTGTACAACGATTCTGCAGCTACCACACATTTCTTTTCCATATTCCGTGGGCAGTTCAGCGCATGGTGAAACAACGACCACTTAGATGCCCATTGGTATTGCAGCGGCATTGAAACCAAAGTGGTCACAGAAGTGTATAGTACCAATAATTGTCTTGCGTTCCCTGTCCCTTTCAGGCGCATAAAGGTGAACACTAACAACAAGGAATCAGGAGAATCAGGAAATGCATCAGAACTCATAATCAATACAAACCTTTTATACTCCCTCCTCCCAGATAACAGCTTGTACATTGCTTTTTACTATTCATTCCATGCGTCCATAGACGTTCGTGCGCGACGGTTGTATTCTCCCTTTATGAGCGTGTCTGAGAGTGATCGGTGCGATCGAGTGTCGACGGTAACGAGTGTCCACTACTATCATTTTAGAGCGTTCTCGCGGGTTTTCATGCGTGCTGCATGATTCATATACCCAAGTCACAGTATCGGTTTATTGATGCGTAACACTTCGAGACGTTTGGTGGAGTGAAAAGGTAGTCAGACATAACCATGTTTTATTTGTTCAACACGCAAAGACTACTCATCTATGGTTTATCGTCTCGTGTTCCGGGGCGATTCCAGATGCAAAGAAGCAACTCAGCGCGCATATTAGTTGGTAAATGGATCGTCCAATAAATTTCGTTTATAATATATGATTGAAGAGTGAGTGATTGTTTACCACGTGTGTGTGCACAATTAGAACGCGAACGCGCGAATCCGATAGCCTTTTGAAATGGACGAAGTTAGGTCCATCAAATCAATCCCTTACCCCCTCCCCCTTGTTTATAATCCATTAAAATGAATACAAAATTGCAAAAGCTTAATTGAAGAATCGTTATGCTATCTGTGATGTATAGTTTGGTTTACTCTGTTCAACACCATACAGTAGGGAGTAAAAATGAGTTGATTATTTAA